TGCGACTTAACTGTGAGCTTAGAGTGTCGACATGGTTTTCTCTTTAATAGGGCCTATTAATTTACATTCCTTTTGATATCAAGTTAAAAATAAGTTATATTATTCAGATGTTATCTACAGGATACTAAGAAATCTATTTTATAAATGCTCTCCAAAGGATTCTTTTCTTTAGAGAATTCCGACAACTCTTTTGTAATATTTTGTATGTTTCTACTTGCAAAATGAAAATTAAATAATATAATAATATAAATGAATATTTAATATAATAAAAGTCTTTTAACATAAAGTTTCTATAAGTTCTAAAATGAATTTCGTAAGTTTAAAATTACTTTCAATCTACGAATTAAATTTCTTTCAGACCAAAGATTGTTTAAGGTTTGTACAGTACGTGATAAACAGTTCAACCTGCAGATTTTCTATAGAAATTTAAATTTAAAAAGGTTATTTAACCTTCTTAACATTAGTTTTATTGCATTGGATGAAAAGTTTGTTTTTCTTTTGTCTTTAAACACCGAATACAGATATAAAGTAAAAAATTTGAATTATTAAACAAATTTCTAACATAGACATTAATTTAAAAATGAATTTATAACTTAGTTGTTTTTAAAGTAAGCCTCTACGATGTTACCGAAACGAGAAGAAAATTTGGGAAATTTTTATCTAAATTGAAGGTAAAACGATTTACCACGTTCAAGAATACCCCACTTTAATGAGGTTTTTATAACCCCTCCCAAAGATGAAAAGGCCCTTTTTCATAATAATATCATATATTAATTCTTAATTATTTTAGTAATTATTATTATATTAGGTCCTAAATGCTCATCAATCATCCTAAATAATCTACCCATCAAAATATCCAGAGTTTACCTTAAACACAGAACGAGAGACATCTTAAATTCTTAACATTTTGGACAGGTATAACTGAAGCTGATGAATTAAATTATGCAAATTATGTTATTTATCTGTGAAATAAATCAAAGAATTGTATTTAATCGGAAAAAGTTAAATATAAAGAAACCAGAAGAGAATACAAAGTAAGCAAACGAGGAAGATTATCGATTTCTTTCGATCCAATTGGATGAATATCCATGATAAAAATGGTCCATCCGATCTAAATTTCATAGTTTTAACGCAGTTTAATTTTCGCTTCCAGTTGCAACCATTCAGATGGTAAAAAAGATATCTTCTGGATTGTCAAACTCATCACGTATTTTCAAACCGGAGTGTAATCCGATCCCAACATTACCGACAAAGTATTTTCAGAATCTCTTTTGTTCTTAGTCTGAAACCGAATTTTATCTCAAAAATGGAGCCATGAACGATACAAAAACGAACGTGAAGTACCTGAAAGGGACGTCAAGATGCGCCTCCAAAAATTCCAATCTAGTAACGAGCGAGGGGTGTTAAAGAAGAGCCGATATTCAGTTAGCACGAAGAAGAAGTTTTTTGTTTGAAGAACGACTAGACTCGAAGCGAGCGGGGGTCTAAAAGACGTTGTCCGCCATTCGTTTGGGTAGAGAGTTCGCGGCTGAGCCCCCTGCAAAGTCTAATTTATGAAGCGGTTACATATTGCTTGTCACTTAAGTCGTAAAGAGAAGAGGTTAACGACTAGAAAACAAACGGCGTTTTGTGTTACGGTAACCCGCCACATAATGGCAGAAAGGTCGCCGAGGTGGCGAAAGGTTGGCGATCAGTTAAATAAATGACCGAAGAGACGATTTGTCTGGACGCTGTGTTCTCGCCCTCTCTTTGCTAGAACGGGGAAAATGTTGCGCCGACCACCATGCGCCAAGTAACGGAAAACTTAAGCGTTTTGGTGGCACGTGCCACATAAAAAAAAGGAAAAAAAAGGGAAGAACCACGAGAACTTCATTATGCACTGACTACTTTAGAGATTAATAAAGACATCTGCTATTTCTTACAGATTAGCGTTTATAAATTAGACTCGACCAAATCGTAGCGGCCTACTTTACATCGACACTAGTCCTGGAATTAATTTATGCACGCATTGCTTACTCTGCCCGACATGCCACAATTTAATCATCGTCGCTTCAGTTTGGGTAAAGCATAATCTTATCTAATTTAAATTTGAGCACAATTGTATTACTGAATTGGATTATGTCCAACTATTCTCAACACATTTTAAATAGTTACGCCTATTTTTGAACCTTCCAAGTAACGAACTTTTACGTCCGTTACAGTTTACAGCTTTGGAGGAATTTTTTCTTTTTTTTTTCTTATGTGTTCGTTTCATAAGTAGGTCGAGTTTTCTCTCATCTGGTAATATTGTGTCCTCTCTCGTCGGTCGGGGCTCCAATTTAAAAATTCTTTCTTTATTATTATTGAACGAGGGCCAGACGGACGGGGAGGCGGAGGATGATCGACACACCCTGTNTACAGAGTTTTATAGCGTAGAAATTAAGCAAAAAAAAAAAAAATGTTTATTTTGTTTTCACAAATAAGACAATTTTAACATTAATAAGTTTCGAACACCATAAAATCTTTAAAAAAAAACAATAATAAAACTCGGCCAAACTCAATATTTTTACAAAAACTTCACGGTTAATCGAATGGCGATAATCTTTTTAATCTAATCTTAATCCGCGCAAGTGTAATCTGCGCATGTTCTATTAAGTTTACGATATCGGCCACCGTGAGGCGCCAGCTCTCGACTCATCCGGAGACTAATAAATTATTTCTGAACTCTCTCTCCATATGGCCTTTCAGAAAGTTCAGAAGCGAATCCAGGTATTGGACAGCAGGGAAGAACACAATAGCTGCATCAGATAGGTCTAACCGCATTGCTAGCAGAATGGATAGTACAGACTTGAAAAAGGATCCTATACCAGACAAGAGACGGGAAGTGAACGCAGGGCTTATCGCGGTCGTTTTCACACATCCCCTCTTTCCCGCACATTCTATCGATTCTCTTCGAAACGGAAGACTGAATTGGGGGATTTGGCTCCTTAATCTGGTTACCCTCCGTCTAGTCACACTGGAACAGACTTTAATTGATTTCAGTGGAGTGTTCGGATGACGTCAGGCGACAACAATAAGAGATTTTAAGAAACGAATAAAAACCTATTCTATTTTTCAGACTGGAGAAAAAAAAAACACTTAAAATGTGTTGAAATTTACAGTATTAATTGTAAATATAAGTAATTACTAAGTAAATTATGGGATTATTTTTAATTAACTCTCTCTTAATCTTTAATAGTAAATAAAATTAAATTAGATTAATTTTAAATGTGAAAAAAAGGAAAAATCATTATAAATCTCAATTAATCGGATAAAGAACAATAAAAAGCATTACTTTAAAGCAATTTAAATACTAAAATAAACAAATTCTACTGCTAAACAGTAAGCGAAAGCAAAAACATTCTATAATTAAACAGAATAAAATAATTTTAATTATGATTAAATGGAAAATTTTAAATCTGTTTTAAACTTCAATTAAAATGAAATTAAAAATGTATTCTTTTAAAATATGATGAAAATTAAAACAATTCAATCTATTTGCGCAGGAATAACAATAATTTTAATCATAAAAAGTGGCATAAACTAAGCTGAAGTTTAGTTTTCATATAAGCTGTAAAAATCTAGGATTAATTATGAGCATTAGTAATTCTAAATCAATTTATAATCAAATTATCTAAATTAGCTTTTTATAATGAATGAACAAACAGCAGCCCTCCGTGATTAACAGCAATAAATTATAGTTAATTGAATAATAGATGTAAACTTAATGGCAAAATTATGCCCATGTCTACATTGAAAATTCATAGTAAAATTTTCATTCAGAAACTTTTTCTTTCCCTCAAATTAATTTTTTTTTTTAAATCTTGTTAAGTTGGGATTAAATTTCGATATAAGTTTAAATTTTTGGGTCTTAGTCTCGAAATTTATTGAATATGTTAACCTTTCTGAATTTGTTGGCTCGTTCATAAATTTGATCATTTAAATTAGTTATGACAAAAATTCGATAAGACCGGTTCCTATTTAGAAGTGTTTCTTAATTTAATCCATAATCCAATGCTTTACGGTCATTAAATTATTTGAAAACGAATACAGCAGACCGCTTCCAGACAATAAACTTTGAAATTGTAAAAAAAGAACAACAAATTGATTGGCAAGCGTCTGCCAGTTAGGCTTTCCAACGTAGTACTTGGCGTTACAAATGATTCTTCTCAACTTCCTTGATATTTCTAATCAACTAGAACGCAGCCAGTTTGTTCCCTAACTTAATCACGCCTTTTCTCCTCCTCTGCACGTCTTCATCTGCTCGTTGTCTCAATGCTACCAAAGCCAGTCGAGTAAAACTAAACATCATCGGCTTGGCTGAATGTCCCCTTCTTTGCTAACACCATCTTTTGTCATCGTAAAAGCCAATAATAAATCTACGGTTATTTCTTTTTATCTCGTGATAAACTTGACTAATTAATCCCTATCTAATCTAATAGATAAATAAAACGTAATTAAGTTTTTTAATAGACTCCACCTCGGCTTCGTGTTGATACCATAGAAGCAATGGAGCTGCGAGCGTTAATCATCGCACATTTCATTAGTCGAATTGAGTAAAGGATGTGCTGATATGCTTAATTAAATGTTTTATTGCTCGAACTGGTTTCACACCAAAAAAATATATAATTTAAGTTTTTTAATACACAATCCAATCTTAACTGTTAATGTGTTGCTTATTTGCAAAGAATGACAAATAGCAGATCTAACGTTAGATAATTAACTTATTATATATCTTAATTTAGGAATTAATTTAAACTATAACTTAATAATTATTAAAACTTTCTGATCTTTTTAAAAATAAATAATTTATTCGTTAAGAAACTAGAAAAATAACGTTAGAATCTCATATTTAACTCTTATTATGATTTAAGTAGTTCTTCCTTTAGTGTTTTTAGTTAAACATCATACTTTTAATTATATTTCTAGTTTTAGTTATGTTATTTTCATATTTTTAGTTAAAAATTTTGTAAATTTTCTAGAAAATTGCAAATTTGTTGGGAATCTGCAGCTGAATCTCTTGATATGGAGAAGAGGCGCCAAAGAGAAGAAGAAAATATTCCTCATTCCTTTAAAAATTTTTAATGCGGATCGATGTCACACAATGGTTTGTAGTACCATTTAAATTTTCAAATAAATTATTTCTATAGAAATTAATTTTATCTTCTTATTATCCTCTCTTCTAACTGGCATCTAGTCTAGTTTGATAAATTAATATGATGAATGCAAATAGTAATACATCTTGTGCTTCTATTTGTGTCATATGACTAGTCAGGCTATCTTACTTTTAAATTCTATGTAGAATGATAAATTTTGTCATTTATAGTTCATACTTAAAAACTATAATTACTTTATTATTTAGTAAAATTTATGTAATAAATCTAATTCTGTTCCTTTAATTTATTTTTGTGTATTTTGTGATAAAAACATCGCTGATTTTCTACACATTTAATCAAAATTTATTAAAATATACAGGAAAAAGTATTTAAAATTTACAGATAATTATCATAGTCTATTTAAATAGTTAATATTTTACTGTAAACTATATTTAGAATCATGATATCCGGATAAAGTCATTATGTAAATTAAACATAATGTACAGTACAGTATAGTATAGTAAGTTCAATTTAAAATTTTTAAGATGATTTGAAGTTCAAGTTGTTTAGTTAATTTATTTTAGAAGTATTAAGAGATGCTTATCAGAATAAACATTCTTTAATGTTTCTTAAATATCAGCTCTTTAGGCCTACTATGAATAAATAGCATTATTTTTAATTACTTTTATCTATCGAAAATCTAATGTGTCATTAAAACTTAATAGCAGAATTATTCAATACAATTCTTGGAATTTGATATATTTTAAAAATTAAATTTATACTTAACAGAACAATTTAATCTTTTTCAGAATTAAAGTTCATAATTACATAAAATTGTATAATTTATATTTTATTTAAGTGTAAATGAAGGTCTGCATATTAAATATTATACAAAAGAATTGTCCATTTCTTTTAAATTAGGATTTAATTAAAGTTCCTTAATTTATGAGAATATTCTAAGTTGTATGCGGAAACATCGCATGAAACTTATTTTTCCTGACTTCAGTTAAGGATTAAAGTTAGTGTTCTAACTTTACTTCTTAACTAAAGTTAAACCCGTCGAAATTAGTGATCCCAAAACATAATTTAATAAATTTACTCATTAGAAGTGTTCCCAATCACAGTTTAATGAACGAGCTAAGTTATTATAATGAAATTTCGAATTTACACTTACTATAATTAATTAAGAATATATTAGGTTATCGAGAATAGGGCTGTGTTACTGTTCATTATTAATAAAGTAATCTGGTTATTATTGTAAATATAATAGTAATAAAATTTAGATATAGACTTTGCTTTTTTAAATAGGGACATAGATTATTTTAAACAATCTCATCAAAATGACTATTAACATACATTTTAACCGAGTTATTATGTTATTATAATGATTTTGATTTTAACAACTAAAGTACAGGTACAATATATATATATATATATATATATATGCCTATAATGATAATTAAACAGAAAAAAAACAGACTAAATTTATCGTTTCATCTATTTTCTACTATTCTTTCAAGCGTATATGATTGTATAGCTCCAATTACAAACTGTAATTATGTTATACATAAGCATCATAATACCAAACCTTATAGGCTTACATTATATACAAATCCAAACTTATAGATAGACATATACAAGAACTATAACCCAAATCGTATGCCTATCGTAAAAATGCCAACACATACATTACTGTATAGTGTATGCATTTATACTATAAAACATGTAATTCAAATAATTACTTTCACTTCGTTTATATCTATGAAATTATTGTAAACATTTGATTATACTTCTGTTTTAAACTTCAATTAAAATGAAATTAAAAATGTATTCTTTTAAATATGATGAAAATTAAAACAATTCAATCTATTTGCGCAGGAATAACAATAATTTTAATCATAAAAAGTGGCATAAACTAAGCTGAAGTTTAGTTTTCATATAAGCTGTAAAAATCTAGGATTAATTATGAGCATTAGTAATTCTAAATCAATTTATAANAGAACAAAGTTTTCTACATGTCAATGCGATAAGCATGGAGTTTTATCTAGTTTATCATTTAGTTTAATAAATATTAAACAGTTGTTACCTTATTTATGATCATTTTTAATAGTGTTATCTTATCTATTACTTAAATAATAGATTATTATATGCTGTAGCTGAAACAACATTTTAAATTATTGAAAGGAACTAGCTTTTAGAACATGAAAAACAGAAATTTTTCAATAAAATCTACATAAATATAGGTAATAAACATGTAATTTGACAAAAGGTAGAGTACATTTAGGTCATGTAATTTTATAAATAAAAAAGAAAATATATGTAATTCATAGTAAAATTGAATAATATCGACATAGCCTAGAGCATTAAGATTCTTGGCATAAATTGTGTTAAATATTTCAAACATGTAATAATGTTATGGAAAAAATACTTTTCCGTAACTGCAGCTCAGTTTTAGATTCCATTCTTATAATATACATGCTTAAAATAGCTTAAGAAATACGAGAGAAACCTTTATTTGTTTGAACTTGTAATATATACACAGGCCTATTGTAAACAGGTAAGAAAATTGCTCGAACAATTTGCAAACAATGGACCGATCTCGTGTCTACGAATACTATTCATTTACTAACCATAGTGTCTGACATATCTCTTTCTATTGGCTAAAAACTTGGCAGCACTCATATTCCATGGCAATGAAAGATGAACGAGCTCTATAAGGCCGAGCGATGATTGGCCAATGTATTTATCTTGATTGGCATGTGACAAAGCTTTGGATTAAATGGTCACGCAGGGCAATGATAAATGATTTCTGATAGATATAATTTGGGATTATAAAAGCAAGGGAAAAAAATATTTCTACTCCATTAAATCTTACTTATCGATTGTGTTAGATTACAGGTTATTTCATCTCGGGGTTATTTTATATTCACTCAGAATTGTTCAAAAATAAAAAAAAAGAGTATATTAAATTAATATTTAAAATAAAAGAAAATTCATTTTAAAAAAATCAATTTGTAATATTTCTTAACCAGAATTATATTCTTAAATGTCACGATTAATTTTTTATTTTAAATTTAAATATATTATTTATGTGAATATTTATAAATAATTGATGAATCTAGATTAGGATATTAAAGCCAAATAAGGGAAAAAATCTAAAATAGTAAAATTTTAAAGTAAACTGAATGAAATAAAGCAACAGATCGTTTTATAAATTCTTCGGTGAAGTAATGAAATCCGTTAGGAAATTCAAAAAATATAAATATTAGAAGGGCAAGGAAAAACATTAAAGAATATCCTTCATTTTTTTAAAAAATAGTACTTAAACCTTAATTATTTAAACATAATCCATTGAATTACCTTAACTAATAAGCCTACAAAATCCTCGGATATCTCGAGATAATACTTGATCGAATTTCTCTGTTTTTGCTTCCAGATGGCGTAAGTGAACACAAGATTAGGGAGGAGGAATGATCAGAATCCCGTACGCATGCTCGCCCATTCATACAAAGAAACTACTGTTCTGTTCAATAAAACAGTAGTTCTTATTTAAGTCAAGTCGAACACGGTCAATGTGATCCGATATATTATTATATCAGAAAATGACGTCCCCCAAACTCTTAGCCGTTTATTATACAGTTTGGCCCGTTTCCGCGGGCATTGAAAAGATTTTTTTTTCTTTTTTTAATATTTCTCCCTTCAAAAAATAATTAGATTTTTATCAGATAGAAATTTTTTTGACTAATGGTTAAATTATTTTTACACTAAATGGTTCTTGCTCCAACATTTTTTTTTTTTTTTTGTATATATATGTATGTACTGTACGAAGCGGTATATGAATCAGCAATAATAACATATGTTACTAAATAGAATTAATGGATTATAAAATAGACATTCTGTATTTTTGTAGCCCCGAGCTCTTCGTGAAATGAATAGAGGAGATTGTTCTAATTATAGGGAGTATACAGTTATTGTTGGAAGATGGAGCAATTATGAAATTCAGTTCATTATGGGAATTACTGACTTCAATAAATTATCCTGAAGTATTTACAAGATTGTTAAATCAGAAATGTATTTTATATGCTAAAGGCTAGTACAGTTAGTAGTCGAGTCGTTGTAAACCTATAATAGATTTATATCAAGAGATTCAGTAAATGATGGAGTCTACGTCCATTTTTCAAAATGAAATCGTTTCTTGGAAAGCATAAAAATGTTAAATTTAGATTCGAAATTTTGTAATAAATAGGTGTAGATAGTAGCAAATTTAAACGTAATTGCATTATGATATAAATATAGATTATTTATATATATATAATTTTTTTCTTTTTATCATTATCACATTTTACACACATGTACAATACTCATAATTCCATCAATACTTATATGTTTATTTTTATTATAACAAAGTATAAATTTATTATAAAAATCAGAAAAGCTCTTGCTTGTCTTTCGACATAATACCTGTGTTAGAGATTTATACATAGGCTATATATTGTATATATATTTTTAAATAAATAAATTGACCGAAATATAGAATATTATATAGGCTACTAATAAATTAGTCTATTAACATATAGAAAGTATTATATTGCTGGTTCTATATTCACTCCTCATGCTCCTGTCTATGTTTACATATAAAATTTAACTATAATTATTATTAAGTAAAATAATAAAGTGTACTATAATATATACACATATCTACTATAATATATAATGTATGTACTGTACTGTACAGTACTGTACTGTACACCCAACATAGACTATATTTTATAGATTTAGGACCTAATCTTTGAGGTCTAAATTGGATAAAGAATTTATATAAAAATTTATAAAAATTATTGTATTATTATTTAATTTTATATAAATTAAGTTAAATTCATTATCTTGTTAAAATTATAAAACTGAACAACTCAATTTAAAGATATATCTTACTTTACGTGACAATAAAGGAATAACTTAAAATAAACAAAGCGTATCAATGATATTTTGCTTATTTCTAATGTTATCTATGACAGTTACTAATTTATACACAGGACCCTTTTTTATAGCAATTTAAATATTTAGTTTTACTTAATACAAATTTAAAAACTGATTCAGTTTTTTTCGTGTGTTGTAGAACATAAACTAAATGATTAAAGTTTACTTTAGATAAACGAAGAAAAAACAGATACAAATTGTGTTCATTGCATGTTAAAATAGCTAATTGACAATAATGAAAAGTCAGCACGATCAATTTGTAAATTTACAAATTGATTACTAATGCTTAGTTTACAGTGGGCAGAGAAGGTAAACAGTTCGATTGTTTTCTTTCTTTATAAATAATAAATTACAGCAATAAACTAAAAAAGTTTGTATCAATATATTATTTACATGATTTAAAAATATAAATTTTAATTTGAAAAAAACGTAAATAAATAAATGACAAAAATAGAAAATGCTTCTAGAATTTGTCTATATAACTTAATAATAATTAGAAACCATCCAAAAGTAATTTTTCATTTGGTCTTAATTTAGTGCTGCGTTGAAGCAAAAAGTGAAGAAAAAATTCTCTATTCGTTTAGTTTTCTTACAAGAAGAAAAAAAAAAGAAAAAGAGGAGATCAGAGTTTGTCGAGCCGACTTAATTAAAATGCTCTGTATAATGTAAACTACCTAAAATACTGGAATGTACTGTACGCCACAATGGTTTACTGTTACCAAAATAGAAAAATTAGCAAAGATGATCACTCACCCTCTCATTCTTTCTCTGCTGCAGACACCGACAAGTGGGTGGAAATTAAAAGTCGTTAAGAATACATGTATCATCTTTTTGCCTGTAATATATTTTTTAATTTGTTCTTTCTTACTAAAAATCTTCGCTAGCGTTTAAAAACTTTCGAATAACAAGCGCTCGCAATATTTCTACATCTAAATCTAAAGGTTTTTAAATGAGAATGTCAGAACCGACTGTAAAATATAATTAGCCTTACAGAAAATTATATATTTTTCCAACATTTTTCCTAAAGCATAGCGGCATAAAATTAGTTTAACGTGTCTTTGATGAAACTGAAAATTATAGCCAAAATGAAACTCGTAGTGAAATTAATTTATAANAAACTATAATTTATTAACTGACAGTAAAATTTAAGACTTTATAAATGTAACTAGCTCTTGTTATTTTTGGAGGATCACCAGAATAAACTTATTTTTTAAGGATAGAAATTCTAAAGTCATTAAATTAGAATAAAGTATTTTGCAAAGCTTTGCAAAATACTTTAAGAAGTATTCAAAAATACAATTTTGTTTATCGATTATTCAATTTTTCAAATTGAAATTTTAAACTTTTGAATTGATTAATCAAAATCATTACTTTATTTTTAATTCATTTCACTTCGAATCTGCTTTATATTGTTCTGGACTAGTCTATATAAATTTTAATTTTCGCTTATTAAAAAAACAAAAACAAAAATACATTATTTCTACTTCAATAGTTTGAATCATAGAAGATAGCCTTTGATCGATCAACACTATTTATAAACAAGTCAGCTGAATTCCATTTGAAACATCTGCTCCGGTGACATCTGCACAGAAAAGTGATAAATGCCTGTGCAATGAATGCTTCAAAACAATCCGTATTCAATTATTGTTTATTTTATGAACCGTTTATATACATCTGTATCATAAATGAGCTTAAAGTTTATTTTATTTAAATTGAAGCAAAACTATTATTTTTGTGAATTTTACATAATTTGTAATCGTAATTGAACTACTCAACCTTCATTAACCTTAATTACCTCAACCTTAATCGACTTAATTTACCTATTATAAGTTAAAACGATAAACGTTCTTAGAAGAAAATCAACTGGGTCTGAAATATAAAAGAAATTTACTGTGCTTTGATGAATTAAAAAGGTGGAGAATGATGAAAATCATTACATTCAGGCCTACTTTTCAACGCTCTGTGATTCTACTTTTGCCTAAACTTTATTTATTTAAAGGGAATAAATAAAAAGTAAAATAAATAAATCTTTTAAATATACTGAATAAAATAAATTATTCTAAAGATAGAATTAATTGTATAGACATTAAAAATTTAAATATTTAACACATTTTTTTTTAAATTCTCAAGACTCACTTGTTAATAAAGTTTTCGAATTTTAGTGATTTTGTTATTAATTTTCTCTTGAGAAAAATTTAAAAAAATGGATTAAAAATAAAGCATTTAATTTTTATAATTTATTTAAAGTCAAGAAAGACTCTTATGCTATTTTTACACCAATTAAAACATTAGGAATCAATATATTTTTATAATTTAGATCGATTATCAGTCATCATTATTCTACGATCTTCAATAGTTTAAAAGACTCGATAGTAATTATCTTCTAAACTAGCCAATGCAATTTTTACTACTGTAAAGATAGTAATTTAAAAGTATTACAGAACGAATGAGATTTCTGAACTGCAATCATCATCAGACGGCTTGGAGTGAAGCAGCCATTTTGAGGCAGAATTTTATTGATTGAAAGATCGGAGAGAACTAAGTGAACCTAACCATTGACTCAAGTGAATGCTCTCTAGAGAGCAAAAATCTACTCAATCGCCGATTCAATTAGATGTTTGCACTGTAGATGTTACAGTACATTGAAAATATAAAAAATAAAAAATTTCCGTATCTCATCGTCAATGGAATGGATTCTCGGTTATAAACACAATACATGGATAGAACAATTGATAGACACTTTGGCATGATGCCAGTCGTGGTCTGGCGGGTTGTTTTAATTGCCTCATTCCTCGGATCAGAGTCATGTAGACTACTGTGTTATGGCAACAGTAGCATGTCGTTGTTGTTTCAATTCGTTACAGTAATGGATACAGTGCGGTCTTTGAACCAAACCCTCGGCCAATAGGTCTATTTAAGTCTACTTAATTCTTTTTCCAGTCATTTATTATTTATAAAACGAGTAAACTGGTGTAATTACTTTTCAACTTACACACAGAAAGATTGTCGCTTATCGATTTCTGATAAGTTGGACTTAAGATATAATTAATGGTGTCAATAAAAACAAAGCTTTTTTCCACTTGCTAAAATTATCTTGAATATCAAACTATTTCTAATTCTCTTAGCTCATTTAGATTTACCATTAGTGAGAATAAGTCTAAACTGATTATTATTAATACATCTAAATGCATTAGAAATAATTAATAAATAGAAGTACTGTAGTTATAAATAATAAATGACGAGAATTCCAAGAAAAAAGTTTATATATAAACCCTTCAGATTCGAATGTAATAATTAGTTATAAAGAAATTATTCAGTATATCAACTAAGTTTTTTTTTGAAAATAGAAAAAACATTTTAAAGTTTTTTTGCGACTAAATCTTCAAAAAAATTTAAAGAAATACTTTTAAAATTAATCTGAAGCATTGTTTTTGATAGAAAAATATTACATTAAAGTTTTTAAATTAAAATGGCTGATTAAATAATATTTTAAGACCCCCAAATATCCTAAATGTACAAAAATATATGTTGAAAAATATAATTAACAGTTTGTGTTCCAAATAGCTACAATTATACGTACAAAATGCATATTGTAAGCAACAACAAGCCAATAAAGCAATTTATAATATTTTTATTTGTTTTGTATCAGTTGGTCGTAAAGCGTAATCCTTCATTTTCTAAATGCGTTTGGACAAAAGAACCCCCTATGAAGATATGCACACTAAACTTTAAGTTTACAACTTCAC